TCCCTCCCTCCCTCTCTCCCTCTCTCCCTCCCTCCCTCTTTCCTTGTCTCTTTCTTTTGTTTGTTTTTTTAAACATATTTTTTTTTTAAATTTCACATCATACTTACCAATCTTGCTCATGATACAGTGCCTCAAGATCTCCCCTTCACCCCTGCAGCATGTCTCCCTAAAAGAACCACCCCCCAAATTTATTGGAAACAAAACAAATAAACAACCCACCTTGCTCTTCCATCTGTTCATCACCTCTTCATTCATCCTAGTGATATCAGGACCTGTGTGTGTCACACAGTATACCCTTTGGTCCAATCAGCCCCACTCTCAAAACATTCATTGCGATGAGTCATTGGTCTGGTTCAAGGCCTCCGGCACACCATCACCGTCAGCACTGAAAATCTTCTCTGACATTCTAGTGTTGCCCTGAGTCATGGAGATCCGGCATTAATTACTCCATAGGATCAGTATCTTCAAGTACTCCAGCAGGACATAGAAGGGATAGTTGTTAGGGTGGGCCAACCCAAGGCCCAGGATGTGTGTCTGGGTGGGAACTGAGCTGGTCAGTTCAGGCCATTTGTTGCCACTCTTGTCAGGAGAGGGGTGGTGCCTGCTCTATTTGACACATGCCATGGGGGCCAGCCCTCCCACACCATGGTGAGAGGCGTGGCCTGGCCAGCTCTCTCTTGAAAACAGTAGGGGGTTATCTCTCCCATGGAGGATGTCAGGACAAGTTTTCCTGCTGCAGTGTCCAGCAAGGGACAGGACCAGCTATCCCAAGGTCAGTGATAGGCCGGGTTGACCCAGCATAGCCCTTTGATTTCAATACTCAAGGATCCTACAACACCCTGTGGTGACACAGGCCATGGGCATCATCACAGACCCCAGCTGTAGCAGGAACATGGACCCAGACATGGCCCTCAGTAACAGTACTGGCCTGAATGATACCATGGCCCCAGGAAACAAGTGCAGGATACTCAGGATGGCATGGCCCTGGTGGCAGCAAAACCCTTGGATACCAATACTGCCACAGGATGCAGCCTAGACCCCTAGCATCTGTGTGGCCTTTGGTGGTACCTCGAGCCACAGACATCAATGCAGATCTCGCTAAGATAGGACTATGGTCCCATTCTTGGTCCTCATCAACAACCTGGATCTTGTGGCAGTGTAGGCCACTCATCTCTGTATGACCCTAGCTGCAGCAGCTCCTCAGATCCCCATCTGACCTCAGGAGATGGCCCAGACCCTGAGTATTTTCGTGGCCTTTGATGGTATCAGGAGCCATGGCTATCAACCCAGGCCCTGGCTGTGGTAGTGTCTCAGACCCAGACATGGTCCTACATTGGTTTACATATCACCATGGCCCCTGAATGGCACAGCCTTTCAGATTGGTCTGGTCCTGGTGTCAGCATGGCCCTTGTACTCTATCATGGACTCAGGTGTCTGACCAGACCTCGACCATCCACATGTCCTTCAATGGTCACCAAAACCATGGACATCAACACAGATGCTGGCTGCTGCAGGGACATGAACCCAGACATGACCCTGGCAGTAGATCAGGTCTGGATGTCATTGTGTTCTCTGGTGGCAGCATGACCACTCAGGTCAACATGGCCCAAGGGCAACATGGATTTTGGACACCAAAATGTCCAGAAGTGGTGGCCCAGACCCTGGTCATCCCTGTGGCCTTGGTGGCAACATGGGTCATAGACATCAACATAGACATCAGCTACATTAGGATTAAGGACCCAGACATAGCCCTAGGCTGTAAACCAAACCCAGACATCACCCTGGTCCTGGGTAGCAAGTAGTCCAACATCAGCCATTCCCTGCTGCCCTGGCTCCTTCAGAACTGCCTCTTATCACAGCACGCTAACCATTCTGCCCCTCTCCCATTTCTTCACCCCACGCTGGCTCATCATAATGGCACTCACCCACCTTGGGTCACAAGGCAGTGAGCAGGCTGTGAATATCTTCAGTTAGGCCAGACTGCAAGGACCCAGGTTGCTGCCAAGGTCTATGTGTCGGTCCATGGTCAACCCACGGTTGGGGTCTGTATTGATGGCTATGGCCCACAGTGCCACTTAGGGCCACACTGACATCAAGGGCCTGGGCCACCACCTAGGGCCCTGTTAGTGTCTGAGGGCTGAGCGTCTGCCAGGGCCATGTGGAGCTGAGTCATTTGTATGGCCACCCAGGGCCACAGTGTCTTCTGGGCCTGTGTTGCTCTCATGCTCTGTGTTGACATCCATGGCTCCTGTTAGCACTGAGAGCAGTGAGGAAAGGGCTGCACAAAGTTAATTCTGCTGCTTACCAACTGTAGCACTCAAGAGAGTGGGCCTCGCATCTCTGCAGGCAAATACAGAAGAGATTTCCATACTGGCATGGTTACAGGTGAGCTGGTTGAGAGTTGGAGAGCTAGCCTTATGGTCTGTGGCGTAGGTAAGGGAGATATACTCCACTTACCCCTTGTTCCTCATCCCTCACCACCTAAGCAAGCAGGAAAAGCTGGTCCTGGGGTCACAAGAGCAGGATAGCTGGCCCTGCCCCTCACTGCCTGCAGCACTCAGGAGAGCCGGCCCTGCACCTTGCCAGGGTAGCACAGTCGAGTTGACACAGTTGACAGGAGGTGCCAGTGATCTGGTGCTGCAAAGGCTTGTGGGAGATCTGGCCCCATCCATCACCTACCACAAGGTGAAGTGGGAGAGAGAGCTGAGTTCCCTCCTTCCCTCTTGCCACCTGTGGTGGGTGGGAGACCTTGTCCTTGAGGTCACGAGAGTGGGAGGGAGGGCTGGTCCTGCCCCTCACCAGCTGCAGCACACAGGAGAGCAGGCATGGCACCTTGACTGGGCAACACACTAGAGCTGACTCTGTTGGCGATAGGGGCATAGATGAGTTAAGCCTGCGGGTGTTAGAGCAGGTGACCTGCCCCTGCCTTCTCTGTTGTATGCCAGGGATGGCAAGGGTAAAGGAAATATGTTCTCCCCACCTCTTGCTACCTGTGCCAGGCGGGAGAGCTGACCTAGGGGCCAGGAGATGGGAGGAGTTGGCTCTGTCCCTTACCAAGTATGGCAATCTGGAGAGCAAGCCTTGCATCTTACCTCGGCAAAACAGTAGAGCTGACCCTGGTGATATGAGTATGCGTGAGACAGACCTGAGGGTGTGAGCAGGGAAACTGATCCTGCTTCTTGCTGTCTGTTACATTTGGCTGAAGAGCTCTCCAGTGTAATGGATTAATTAGAAAATACTGCAGAATTCCCAGTGGCTGCAGAGGCAGAAACAATGCAGGTTCCCTAGTGGTGTCATTTATTTAGTGGGTTATGGAGGGGAAGGGGAGGAGGGGAGAAGAACAGAGAGGCAGAGAGAGAGAGAGAGAGAGAGAGAGAGAGAGAGAGAGAGAGAAGGGAGAGAGAGATGGAAGCAGAAGCTGCCTCTTTAGGAGGGAGATGGAAAAGGAAGAAACTCAGGCTGCAAGCAGGAAGGAAGATCTGCCTGCCTCAATTGACAGGGGTGAGGTCTGGGGAGGGGTGTGGAGGGGTCGTGGGCGGGGTTTGTCTCTTAAAGCGACAGGACAGATCATTACAGCCAAGATGGTGATAATGAAGGATTGTTTGTAGGTGGTCAACCCAGCTAACACCCAGGTCCAGAACCAGGATAATGAATTAGCCCACCCCAACACCCATCTCATCCATGAACTGCTGGAATGTGTGAAGGAGCTGGATCCAAAGCTATGTGTGTGGATCCAAAGCAATGAAATCTCCATGACACAAGGAAACAACAGGATAATGAAGAGGGGTCCCACTGAGGGACCCAGTGTTGACAGTGTAGCAGAAGCTAGAGGCCTTGAACCAGAGCAATGACTCATTGGATTGAACGATGGCAAATACGATGTATGGGCTCAGTGATGGTGGTGCACGCCTTTAATCCCAGTACTCAGGAGGCAGGCGAATCTCCATGAAGTCAATGTCAGCCTGGTCTACAGAGCTAGTTCCAGGACAGTCAGAGCTATTACACATAGCTGTGTTTGTCTCAAAAACCAGAAAAAAACCTCACTTACTCCTGACAAATTCTTAACAAATAAAGATGTATGGACTAAAAGGTATATGGTGTGACTCAGTGGGCCACATTACAGCTTTCATGCTGAGATTTAAAAAAAAATTTCCTTTGATTTTTACTATTAAATTTTGTTTGGGGGCAAGGTTGCAAGAGCAGAAGACAGGAGAAAGGGGACAGGGAGATGAGTGGGATCAGGATGCATGATGAGAAATCTACAAAGAATCAATAAAAAGTAAAAAAAAATTATTTAATTAATGTAATTTTTGAGACAAGGTCTCGCTATGTGGCCCTGGCTGGACTGGAGCTCACTATGTAGACCAGGCTCACTATAGAGATCTAGCTGGCTCTTCTTTCAGAGAGCTGGGATTAAGGGCGTGTTTCATTGATCCTCATCTCCATTTTCCTTTATAACATTCACTGTGTCCAGATCATGAGCAAACCTAAGAAGCCTTTTCTGTGATGCAGTAACAACGGAGACTGCTTCTTTGTTCTTGGCTGCCCAGACCCTAAAAATCACACAGAAACTATATTAATTACAACAGTGCTTTTGGCCTACTAGTTCAGGCTTCTTATTAATTAAGTCTTACATGTTAAATTAACCCATTTCTATTAATCTGTGTATCACCACAAGGATGTGGCCTACAGGTAAGGATCTGCGACATCTGTCTCCTTCAGTAGTTACAGGGCATCTTTCTGACTCCACCTACTGTCTCTATCTCTTTTCAGATTTCTTGCCTGGCTTTACTCTGCTAAGCCATTGACCAAAACAGCTTCTTTATTAGATAATGGTAATAAAATCATATTCATAGCATACAGAGGGGAATCCCACATCAATGCAGACTCCGTTCTTGCTCTCTGGAATGAGTTTTATTTTTTTAAGTGTTTCAGCAGATCCAATACTTTATACTTTAACTCTATCATCCCAAAGAGGGTCCTACACACAGATCTATAAAAAACACATATTCTATATCTGTTTAATTACTACTACTGCTACTATTATTTAGTAAGAAATTTTATCTCCATTCTTGAAAAACTGCACTAATTAATTTTATTATGGAGAGCAACATCCTCACTTTCCCAAATTTATACATCCCTACTTCATCAGGTATATTGTGAGGCTTAAGCTGACATCACAATATTTCTTTTCTTAGCAGGTCATGCCCTTGGGGGTGGGACAGCTGTGAAGGGTCATCACCACTTAGTCCACTCTGTGCCAAGTATGAGTTGGTAGCCAAGCCAGGCCTCAGCTGGGCCACATCTGGAGAATTGGGGTGAGGGCACGACACCGAATAATTCTGGACTTAGCCCATTCATTCTTCTTGGGGGCACCAAGAAAAAGTAACCTATGATCTTAGAACACAACACCTGCACCGAAGTCCAGCAGCACAGTTGCCTGCCCTCACCTCTCTCTGCCCCTGCTCTGGCTGCTCCCCATCTGCCTCCCTGCTAAGGTCTATGCCTCATATTATCTCTCGGACACCTATGATGTCCCAGAGCAGACGTCCTGCAGGTGTGCCTGCAGATGGGAATATCTCTCCAAGTGTCATTCAAGTGATTGTGAAGACACCGGGACACCAGAACAGCTTTACGGTAGCTGGTGACACCTCAGTGAGGCAATTCAAGGAGAAGCTGTCTGCTCACTTCAAATGCCAAATGGACCAACTGGTCCTGGTTTTCATGGGCCGCCTCCTCAAAGACCATGACATACTGAGTCAGAGGGGCATCAAAGATGGCCAAACCATTCACGTGGTCATCAAGTCCAAGAATGGCTCCAGATCCCTGGCTCATTCTTTCCGGAAACTGTTAACGAACAATCCCTGCCATCAAGACAGAAGCACCAAAGGAAACAGCAGTGGAGTGTCCCAGTCTGCAGGCATGGGTCAAACCAAAGAAGAATCACCCCTTCTCATGGAGTCTGATGCACCCAAGGTGGGTACTCAAGGCCCAGAATTGGACAGTCCAGAGCATATTGCACAGATGTTGAAGAATCTTTGTGTTCAGAGGATGTTGTCCAATATGGATATCATGCACCAGCTTATCTCAGAACATCCAGATATGCAAGAACTGTTGCAGCAGAACCCAGAAATCTCCCATATCCTCGAAAATTCTGAGATTCTATGCCACACTCTGGAGTTGGCCAGGCACCTTTCCGTTATTCAAGAGATAATGCAGATCAATCAGCCAGCACAGAACCTTGAGCATCTACAGAACCCACAGCCGTACCTGGGCTTAGAGACAATTCCAAATGGGAACAATGCCTTGGGCCAGAGCTATGATTTCAATAACCAAATTCTCAATGGGATGCAAGATCTTTTATGGGGCAACACTTTTACAGCCCTTCTGGCTGGTCAAGTACTAGAGCAAGTCCAGACTTCTTCCCAATCTCTTCCATCATCCTCTGAGGAACAATGGCCCCGCCCCCCTGCCCAAGTCATTTATGCTAATTCTTGTGGATTATCATCAATCACCCCAACAAATGCTACTCTAAGCAATGCCAATCATGCTTCCAGGGAAAATCCAGCCTCAGTCGCCCCTAAGGGCCAAAGCCATGTCTGTGCTATTCAGCAGCCAGCTGGGATCCCAACCTTACCCAACACAGCCGTCACCCAGGAGCTTCAGGAAGATGATAAGGGTATGGCCATCCCTGTGGGTACTTCTGACCAGGGATTAGAGGGAGATCTCCAGCAGTCAGGTGAGCAGACCAGCTCTCAGCTCACAGGAGGAATGATCCAATTGCTTAGGAACTATCCATACATGGCTGCTCAGATGCTGCTGCTCATGAATATGCCCCAGCAGAGTGAACAGTGGAGACAACAATCTCCCACATCCTTGCAGTCATCACAGCTTTCAGACTTGCTTTTAGCCCTAGCCAACCCTAAAACATCACAAGCAATACTACAGATCGAGCATGGTCTACAGTTATTGGCTACAGAGGCTCCTATTCTTTTGCCATGCATTGAACCTTCCCTTTGGGGTCTAGGTTGGCTTCCTCCTTTCAGCTGTGTCTACCCTGATACAGTGCCCTGGACCCTGAATGTGTCAGACATGGCTGAGCCTGAATGTGGCCCCCAATCTGGAACAGTGCTGCAAAAATCACAGCCTCCATCTGGAGACCCTTCCCATTCCTTACAAGCCTCCGAGGTTCGTTTCAGCAAGCAGATAGAGCATCTCCAGACCCTGGGATTTGTGAATGACAATGCCAATGTACAAGCACTCATTGCTACTGATGGGGACACAAACGCTGCTGTTCACAAGCTCAAGAAGTCACAGGAATCCTGACCATCGTGTCTTTCCATCTGCTTCCTGCCTGCGTGTGGACCCATTTCACCTCCTCATCTGCCTTTGCTACCTTTCCTATGCTTCCAAATGGGAGAAGTACCGGAACAGGAAAACCGATCAATGCTTGCTCAACTGAATACTAGATCACTGGTCATGGCTGGAAGATCTGTCAATAAAATGGCTACACCTACTTGCCTTCATTTGAGGCTTGCCTTGTTTTGTTGTTTTTTAAACAGGGTCTTCCTATATAGACGAAGCTGACCTTCAACCCTGTAACAATCCTTCTGCCTCTGCTGCCTCAGTGCTGGGATTACTCTCTGTAGTGATGTTTGTTTGTGTTTTTACAAATAAAGTTTGCCTGAAAATCAGAGTGCAGAACTAAGCCACTAGAAGCCAGGTGATGATGGCTCACACCTTTAATTCCAGTATCTGGGAGTCCCATGAGTTTAAACCAGCCCTAGGGATGTGGAAACAGGAAGGGATATGGTTGGGTGGAGAGAGAAATATAAGATGTAAAGAGAAAGGAGCTCAGAAGCCGTCTGAGGATGCAGTCTGAGAGATAGTCTGAGGACGGGATTGCCCTTTTGATCTGAGCATTGGTAGATGTAAAAGGTCTCTTTAGTGGCTGGCCACATTGCTCCTCTGATCCTTCAGTCTTCATCCGCTAACATCTTACTCCGGGTTTTATTTATTAAAACCAATTAGAATTCATGCTACAACTTGTGAACATTATCATGTTTAGCTTGGCTCCCCCTCCCCCCAGCAAATCAGCAAAATGTGCTTGACATCTTTGTTTTACCTAGTGATACACACATACATTGTATGGGTTGTTTTGATAGATAATCACAGTTGCTTATATAATTATCTAGTGTCAGGGAACCAACACATGTAACCGAGGATGTGCATACCGGTAGATATACACAAATGCATAGCAGTGTGAGAACAGACCAATTGTAGTGGAAGAGATTTGTGAAATAAAGGGAAACCTCACTTAGGCCCGAATATTTAGTCAGCAAGATTGATATTTGGTCATGTTTCTTAAAACTGAATTTAGCTTTAAAGAAAAAGAATGGTAAATCCTGATAGATACAGGTAGGAGGAACTCAGATACAAGTAAGATATTAGCATCTATAATTGGGCCTTCTTACTGATTATTACTTCCATGATAGGAAGCCTTAGTCTCCCATTGTTAGTCAGAGTTACAGCTACTGCCGCTTCAGCTTCACTGCAGATTCCTGTCATTCCCCACCCACCCCCTGCCCTTTACTGGACACTGTTCCCCCCATGATATAATGCATTCCATTAAGCCCCACCTTGTCCTCCTGCCTTGATGAAAGTATCCCTGCCTGGAAGGATACACAGCCAATTAAGGCTTAATTACTAAACAGTACACTCATGCTATAATAAGTTGACATGGTTTCATGCATTGAATAAATAGACAAAACAAAGATTCTTCATTTTGCTGTTTTGTTTTTGTTTTTGAGACAGACTTCTTGTATCCCAGATCTGGCTTACAGTTTATCATCAGCAACTGTAAAGGGAGCAGGAATGCAGTGTTCCAGTACTTCCAGGAAACCTGTCCAGACCCTGCTTCATCACTGGAATGGTTTAGATAAAGTAGTGCACTTCCCTGAGTGGGGGCAGCTGTGTCCCACCACCTGAGGCCTTGTGGTTCCCAGATGGGTGGGAGGCGGCATGTGAAGACGTCAGCAGTTCCCATGAGTGGCGGGTGAGAGACAGACACCACGCAGAAAAAGTGAGTAGTTTATTTAGTGGATTATGAAAGGGAAAAGGAGGGCGGAAAGGAGAGAAGGGGAAGAAGAGAGAGAGAAAGAGGGGAGAAGGGAGAGGGAGCGAGAGAGAGAGGGAGAGAGAACAGAATTTATCTCTTTGGGAGAGAGATGGAAAGAGAGAGTGTGCAGGCTGGAGGAGTACAGGCTAAGGGGAAGGGTTGAAAGAGGGCGGGGCTTATCTCTTAAAGGGACAAGGTCCACAGGTGGCAGACCAGGCCTGCAGATGGTAACAATCACTAAAATCCATCAAAACTATTCAAGAAAGTAATTACAGCTGTATCCGACTAGTCTCACTTTATAAAAATAGCACACGGTAGATAAGTAGATGATAGGTAGATTAAATAGATGTAGATAGATGATAGATATGTTGACAGACAGACAGATGATAGATAGAAATAAGCCTTTTTATGTAGCCCAGGCAAGCCTAGAACTTGTGATCCTCTGGCTTCTGTCTCCCCAAGTGCTGGTATGAGAGTTGTTATGTACCAACCATGATTGGTGTGATATCATCTTTTTGTTTTTCATCCTTCTACATTCTGACATACTGAACTGACCTCTGTTTACACTCAGTGTTCTCAAAAACATCGCCATTTCCCTAAACATCTCCATCTTACAATTAGGAGCACATAGTGTAGGCCAGAACAAGACTTCCATCCACACAACCCTCTTTCAAGGGTTCCCTTGGCTGCTGTCTGGGACAGAAGTTGTCCGCTAAGTCCTTCTTGGGCACCACAATAGCTCCTGCATTTGTTATCAATGGGTATTATTCTTGCACCTCTGGATGCTTCTTGATGCACATTCTGTAGTTTCAAGATGACTTTTGGACCCATCAATGAAACAATTCTCTAGTAAAATCATCATAGGTATACCCAACTCTGCCCAGTTGGTGCAGGCGAAGAAAGCACACAGTCAGGTTTGTCGGCCTCATTTACATATATTACCCAAGGCCTCAGTTAATCTCATGAGTCATCCTAACCACACACATTATGGGCAACAAAGTGAGAATTTGTATCAGAATCCCCTAGAGGCAGTGTTTTAAAAGATAGTTTTCTGACTACATTCTAAGGGTTTTGATTTAGTCTATCTAGAATGGGGCTCAGACTTCTTTTCTAACAAGTTTCTCTGAGGTATGAATGTTACTGGTCTCATCAGAACAACAGACCTGGTCATTTCTCAGCCTTTGCGATGAAGGTGTCATAACATTCCTACTTTTGAAAACTTTCAATATATCATCATTTTCAGCCTTAGTCTTAAAGGATGCTTTACCTATTATGACTGAAAGTCAGAAGAGCCCCAAAGAGACATTCATGAGCATTTACTGTCCAACGACAATCATCTCACCACCTCATTTTACACATTCAGCCTCCATTCTGGTATGATGAGTTATCAGTCCGCATTCACAAGTCAAGCTATCCATTTGGACACTTGCTAACTCTGTTCACTCAGGATTCAGGCTTTTGTGATTTCTTTTCTCCCTCTTGTACCAGTTTACTCTTCCTCTTTGGGCTGTTTTCTTCAAAACAAAGCCCCCAGAGGCCAGTCTTCACGAAACAAAGCCCTCAGAGGCTAGTCTCCAGAAGACAAAGCGCAGCAGCACTCAGAAGCCTTTAGTTTCAACAACCTCTCTTGTTTGTCCCACTCTTATTTGATCTACTTGCTTTCTGATGCTTTTGTTCTTAAACACCCTCAAATCAGGATTGCTGTTCCCCCACCACTGTTCCACAGTTGGCCTTCTGCTCGCTTTTTATGAAATTCAGCAGTCAACTTGAGTTCTTAGTCACAGATAGGCTCTCTGTGTCAATCAACCCTTCCAAGGCTCAGGAAACATCACGGAAGAGTGGTGCAGAGGTGTAAGAGCCAGAGCATGGGCAGGAGTGGTGGAAATGCTGCCTTCTGGCTGTGACATGAACATTGCGCTCAGTTACCCACACAAGAACCACCCAAGCTCAGGCCAAAAAGATCAGTTAATATGCCAGCAGGCCACACATGCTGGACTTACTGGGTTACAGGAAACAAAACAACAAAAGACAGGACAGAAGGATGGAGGAGGGATGCATGGAGAGTTGTCTAGGGGGGATGGGTGGGGGAATTATGGGTAGATATGATCAATGTATATTGTTATTGCCTTTGGAATTGTCAAAGAATAAATAAAAAATAAAAATTCGCAGTCAGTTCTGAGCGCTTTGAACCCATTGGGTTCATTTGAGACCGTTGGTTATTCTCTCATTTCTGTGGTGTCGGTTATCACTCTCACCTGCCACCTAGTTTTCTCTGTTCCTCTTGATCTGCATTATAATAGTCGAGATTTTTAATTGTTGTACGAGCCACTAATATATATATATATGTGTGTGTGTGTGTGTGTGTGTGTATCCCTTTTATATACTAACTAATCTGTCTACAATCACAACCTTTAGTATCTTTTCATCTTACTATGCTTTTTATATATTGAATAATCTTAACCAGCTCACATTTCAAGTAATCTAAACATGGATGTACTCAAGACTTGCAATATTTAACTACTTTGCCACACTCTATGTATTTGCTAGATAAAAGTAAATATCTCAAATATCCATTACTATATACATCTGAATTGCATATAATTTCCCTTGTGGAGTGTCTTTATATTACCATTACTCTGTACAAAAATTATAGAATGAAAAAACTTTCAGTCATTTTCAACCCCTCTCTCGCTCCATACTATTTCTATCAACAAATAAATACTTTGAAAATATATAAATTCTGGTTAATATTGAATATAGAGGAAAAGGAACTGAAAATTTCAGAAAAGAATCTTCAAGTATGGATAATATGTCCCTATGGATCTTTTTATAGAGGCTCCAATTCCACCCTGCGTCTTCATCTGCCATGTATAGTGTAGTGTTGTATGGGAGATGGTTGTTGACCTAAAAAGGAATTATCTGTCAGGGTCCTCATTATTAATAAATAATTAGGACAACCAAAAGCAATCTACAGATTCAACACAATGTTCATCAAAATCCCAGCAAAATTCTTCACAGACCTGGAAAGAACGGTACTCAACTTCATATGGAAAAGCAAAAAACCAAGGATAGCCAAAACATTCCTAGACAAGAAAACAACTTCTGGAGGCATCAGAATCCCTGACTTTAAACTCTACTACAGAGCTACAGTACTGAAAATGGCCTGGTATTGGCATAACAGACAGGAGGACCAATAGAACCAAATAGAAGACCTGGATATCAATCCACACATCTTTGAACACCTGATTTTTGACAAACATGCAAAAAATATCAAATGGAAAAAAGAAAGCATATTTAGCAAGTGATGCTGGCATAACTGGATATCAACATGTAGAAGAATGAAAATAGATCCATATCTATCACCATGCACAAAACTCAAGTCCAAATGGATCAAAGACCTCAACACAA